CCGGCTTTAAAAAAAAAAAAAAAGGGAATTGAGAAAAGAAAATTTATTAAGGAATCGCCACGAGTGTGTTTGGTTTTCAGAACGCCACACACAATAAAAACAACGCTCCTCGGACCACGGGAGCTCCGCGGGGCCCGGCTGCGTTTCCCACGCCGGCAGCGCCCCGCAGCCCCGCGCCCACGGGGCGGCTGTGACTCAGCGGTGAATCCTGGTTTCAAGGGATCGCTTCACTTTTAATTAACATGAAAAAAGCAGGAAATTCCCTTCCCCTTCCCCTCCTAGAGGCTCATCCCTGCTGCTTCCTGCCCTTGGAGCACCTGACTCACGCCCAAAGCTTGACCCTCTCCCAAGCTTACATAGTCTTGAAATTTTTCAAAATTTGTCACTGAAAATGAATAATTTTGTGTTTTTCTTGAGACATTTCTCTTGTGAGACACCAAAGCGCAAGGATGAATATTTCAGGCTTCATTTCCCCCCCTGTTCAGAGGTGGCAGGTAGCAACAGTTTGTCAGTGCACGACCGGCTCTCCCTGGAGCTGAAGCGCATGGCAGCGTTTGCTGGGATGCAGTAAGCACGTACACAATCAGGGAGAGCAGCCCATGCAATAAACCCTCTTTGGGCTGGTAGGAAACGGGCCAGCACTGAAGGTGCCGCACATCCTCCTCGCATTCCTCGTGTCCACACGTCCAGTCTGCCTGGCGCCGGGGCAGCGTAAGGGAGTTTCAGACCTGCCCTCGCTCGCAGCGCGGCACGTGGGGCCAGGAGCGCATGGAAAGCGGATGCTGCCTGTCCAGGGACCGCGCGGTGCCTCGGGCACCCGCTGCAGAGGGACCTTCCCTGCCGGGGCTCCCAGCCGAGCGGCCCCGGCTCCTCATCTCCATCGCCCTGCGCAGAGGCAGCTGGGGCGGTCATGATGTCAAAAAAAATGGGTCCGCCCGTCCCTCGGCAGCTCCTCTCCGTGCGTTTCTGCTCGCCGAGCGTGTGGCAGCACGCCTGGCGAGCCGACGGGAAAGGAGCTGCCGCGCTTTCCACGCTCCCAGCTGGGAAGCTGCCGCTCCGAGCTGGGGACAACCTGCGAGAGCTCATAAGGCTGGACGCGTAATCAGATGTACAGCCCTACCAGCCTACGTTTTATTCCAGCATGGTGTTTCTCTACTGTCATTTATACAGCACTGATCTCAAACTTCCATGGGCCAACCAGCACAAGTCCTTTATTATAGTGTTTCCTAGAAAATATTCTTTTCTTTTTAATTTTAATCATCTCTTATTTCTACCTGCACCTTTTTCAAGTCCTACAGAGAAATCCTTTGCACAAACCGTGCTCCATAAGGCAGCAGTAACACCTGCAGATGGGCTCTGCCCAGGGCAGCTGGGTGAGGGCAGCCCGGGCACAGGGAGAGTCTGCTCCAGAGGCATTTCCATAGCAGGAGCTGTGGGTTTCAATTGCTTCAGTGCCAAGTCAACAGCACCGCGTTTATTAAAGGCATTGTACGTCACGATACCGATGATGGCAGAGCTCAGACCCTGCAAGCCAGGAGATCTTTCAGGCCTTTGTTCCTAGCTGGAAAAGATCCGAGTGATCAAAACAAAGAGGAACCATTTTCTCTCCTGGGAACAGATCGCAAAGTTCCCATAAGGCAAAACAGCCTTATGCAACGAGCAGCACCGCGGCCCGGGCGTGTGGAGTCTTGTGCTCCGAGCACTCGCATTCCAGCAGGCAGCTCCGCACCGGAGCGAAACGGTGCCGAGCAAAATCCCCCAGCTGTGTTGCCGTAAAAAAAAACCTTATGAACCCCCTACACCTGTGTCACCACAAGAAAAGGTGCCTCTAGTTCCCCTAAAACTAGATGTGCAACCAAAATGCAGAACCCAGGTCCTCTGGGTATTAACCGAGAGGAATCAAGGAACACACGGGTGGGAGGGAGGAAGCAGTGCTGTGTACAGCAGCCCAGGGGAGCGCAGGGACCCTGCGTAGAGGCAGCACACGGAGCAACAACACGGAAATCGAGAATGCAACACGGGAGCTTAGAGGGGCTGCCGGGTCCAGCCTCCTCGCGCTGGGAAGGATGTGCTGGGGGAGAGACCAGGGCTCTTCCTTGATCAGCCTCAGGCTGTGCTGCTAGAGATACAAATTAAGAATCAGGGTTTGAAGTTTATGCCTGAAGCATTTGGAAGAGGGAGGCTTAACTTTATTAAGCTTATTACATTCTTCTAGGTACAATAGGAGAAGACCAGCATTCCTCTGCAGCAGCAGGCCCAAAACTGCACCTTTTCAGAGTTTTTTTTTAAAAAAAAAAGAAAAGAAAAAAAACCTTCTTTAGCCTCTCTAGTATCTCTATTAATCCCCCTCCTCTCATTTTACACTTCTGCTGAAGTGCTTATCTTCCCTCCTTTTCAGAGGCTCTAGCATGAATCCCCACATTGCTTAGGCACCCTCACACAGGAGGAGTTAGAGAAGTGAAACACCAGGCTCTGCTTTTGCAAATCGGAGTACATGCAGTATCTGTGAAGGGCTACTCACGTGCACAAATAAATCCTGTTCTTACCGCAGAAGAACAGCTACTTTTACAGCAGCAAGTGTCAGACTGACTTTTGACCTGTGCTTTTTCCGTATGAGAAAGTCTTCTTTCCAAAACCAATCTGATTCTAAAATGAGTAATTTAAGCCTTCAACAGCCCTTAGTATTATTATAATAGGGGGTCCATTGTTTCCTATTAATACTGTTCTAATCTTCTTAAAGAAAGAATCCCCTCTGCAAGTCAGCCTGGCTCAAGCACATTTATAGCTACAGGTCATTTCTTTCCAGCTGACACTGAAAGATGGTTGGATTTAGAACACCTGGCACAATATGTATAAAGGTTGGTGGTTTTGGTAAGGGACAAAAAGGAGGAGGTGGGGGAGGAGCTTTAAGAATAAGTTTTAGGGGGTCTTGTTTGTTACTGGATTTTTTTTTTGGGGGGTGGGGGAGGAGGAGGGTTTTTCTTTCTTAAATAGAGTTGTTTTCAAACAGTATGAGTATAGTAAGCCTTGTAAAGAGGTAAATAGGGAGGGAAATGAAGAAAAACATGCTTAAAAAATTAGAGAAAAATAAGATTTCTAAAAAGCTTCTGTTGAAATTCTAAAAATTTCCTATGAAGCTGGGAGCTGTCTCTGTTTGACCATGTGCATTAGGAGGTTTTTTCCTGAATCAATGTGTATAGGTAGGATACTCAGCATGCTTTCAGTGAGCTTGATGTATTGACAATCTAGTTTTCCCAGGAGAGCAGAATGAGTCCTATATGGTTTTTTATCAAAACTCTCTCATTAGAAGTTGTCTGTTAATATATCTTTGTTCACTGAAAAAAAAAAAAAGCAGTACCTCCCCAAACTGCTAGTATATACTGCGACTTGAAAACCAAAGTCCAAGAGTTCATTTAAGATCACTTTGTCTTCTAGAAAAGGCACAGGATCAAGTGAAGATTATAGGTCAAATATAAAGGGAATGGCAGCTCCCAAATCCT